TGCATTATTATTATGATTATTATTATCATCATTATTATTAGTATGATTATTATCATCATGATAAGGAAAATAATAAAGTAATGGCGATAATAGAAATAATAAAACTAATAGTAATGATGGTAATAACAACAACAACGATAACAATTGTAATAATAATATATCATTATTATAATATAATATAATAATAATAATAATAATGATAATAAATTATGATAACAATGATAATTATTATGATAATAATAATGGTAATAATAATGATAATGATAACAATAATAGTAGTAAAAGTAATAACAATAATAGTAGTTGTAATAAGAATGATGATGATAATAACAAAAATAATGACAATAATAATGAAAATAAATACATGATGATGATGGTAATGATGATGATGAAGATGATGATGATGAAGATGATGATGATAATGATAAAGTTAATAATAATAATAGAAGTAAGGATAAGATTGATAGCAATGGTATTAATAGCAATGATAATGATAGCGATAATAATATGATGATAATGATAATAGAAGTCAGTTGTAGCATCAGTACTGCTTGTAGTAGTATTTGATCTATATTTCTATTATTTTCATCATTGATCATTATCGTTATCGTAATATTATTATTATTATAATTGTTACTATCATTATTATTATCATTACTATCATTATAACTATTAATATAATTTTCATTATCCTTACTAATATCATTGCTATCATTTTCATCATCATTAGCGTTTTAATTATCATTGCTGTTAACATTTTCCTGATAATTGTTGTGATTTTTATTATGATTTTTTTTTTATGCCTCTTGGTATCTTTCTAGTATCATTCTTATCTTTATCATTGCTAATATTATTATCTTTATTATTACTATTATTTCTTTTAGTATGATAACATTGTTATTATCGTTATCATTATTATCTTCACCATCATCATCATGATTGTTGTAATTATTACTATCATTATCAATATCATCATTAGTACGATTATCATTGTTACTTATATAACCATCTTTATCGTCATTATTGTTGCTGTTATAATTTTTTATTATTAGTGATAACCATTTTTGTTATTATTGTTATTATAATTATAATTTTTATTGCTATTATTATTGTTATCATTATCATTACTTTTATTAATATTATTGTTATTATTATACTTATTATTATCATCAATATCATTATCCTAATTATCATTATTGTTATTATTGATGTTGTTAACATTATTAGTATAAGCACTAACCATTAGTTATCATTATTATTGTCCTTATCATCACCATTATCATTTTCTTTATCACCATTTTCATCATTACTTTTGTTACGAGTAATACAATAATCATCATATTACCAATACCATCCAGCATTAATAACTCTATAAATAAGCCTATCAGCAACACAGAATCAGCATACAGAAACTGCCTTGGTTAACGACAAGCATATTATTTACTCAGGTATGTTATCGTTATCTCGTCCATATCTTGTTCTTATCTTTCTTCTTCATATCGTTACTGTTCACTGATTCCACTCTACTAAATGTTTGTACCCTGTCTGTCAAGCACGAAATAAACCTGTAATTAGGCGAAATTTGAAAATAATATATTTGCAGTGATAGTAATGGATTTTATGTGCAGTGTCAGTTCAATAAAACTTTTTTCTCTTTCTCGTTTATGTGGGACGCTGTCCAACAAATTTATTTCCTAATATGAAGTCTGAATTATTGACTTTAACTTCGGCGTTTTTTTTTTTTTAAGATTTTTTTTTTAAGATTTAGTTTTAATTCCATTTGTTACAATGGATATTCTTTGCTGTGACATACTGTCTGTTTTATTTTGCCCAAATCTTCCCCCGTGTGAAAGGAATGGCCGGGGTTACCATTCACTGGCCGGGCGTGGGATTGAACGCAGGTCCACAAGATTGCTAGACCAGCACCTTACCGCTGCATATATATATATATATATATATATATATATATATATATATATATATATATATATACTTTTCTTAGTATCAAAATCGGATTTGCTGTAAATTAGCGATTTTGAGTGTTATTACAATCCAATTAAGTCTTCCCTAATGATTTGAACTTCCCGCTTGAGATCCGTTTTCTTTGCTTGATATCGATGATGTCCTACACTAGAAATACACGTTTTCTGTGTATAGTACTGTGACAACCAATAAATGCGTCAGAATGCCAACCTTACTCTACCCTTATCTTCTCTATTACTTCCATTTTTTGTCTCTCTTTCATTATTATCATTCTTTCTCTTCCTCACATTTCTCCGTCAGGTCACCTCGACGCAAGCCGGGGTTCTGAGCTGGTTCGCGGAGGATGCGAGCCCAGGCGAAGAGCTTCAGGCCGACGAACCCGACAGCGATGAGGTGATAGAATTATCGAATTGAAGTTGCATCTTACTCAGTTTGGGACTTTTTTGTGTTCGCATTTCATCTTGAGTCTTGGGATTTTTTCTCCCTTCTTATTTTCGCTAATGATATAATGTATCAGAGCTTTTGGATTCTCTGTTCTTTTCGAAGGTGACTTAATCAATAGCATTGCATAATCTGATATTTTTATCTATACAGTTTTGTTTTCAAATGTGAATTCTACGTTCTTCTCTAATGCCTTATAATTTGCTGTTTGCTGAAAATTTTCGATCGTTTTACGAACAGATGCGTAAATTGACGATACGTGATATATAGTAAAGCGAAAAATGTGGTGACTGTCCATTAGCTGCTGACTCTTTCAAGACAATATACCAAAGGGAATCTAAGCACTGTCTGACACCTCGCTGACAATTAACCTGCCTTTATTTTTACGCTTACGATACAGTACTCTCTACAACAGCTGACCTCCTCCTGACAATCAGCTGACAGCTGAGTACCTTTTCACTCGGACTTCCCTTTGCAGGAAAGTGACGCGGGCGACAGCCAGGTTAAACGCCTAGTGGAGGCGATGCACGGCAGCTTCGTGGAACTGGCAACGAAGCGCAACACTTGGTACGACCGGTACGATGTTCTGGCCCAGCAAGCAGCCAACAACTCG